GAACCGACCTGACCGCGTAGCTCAGTTGGCAGAGCATTGGGCAAGTATTCCAAAGGTCGTAGGTTCGATTCCCACCGTGGCCAGGCATATTTTTCAAGTCTGCCCGGTGTCGATTCACACTCAAGAGTAACATCACAAGCATCTTATTCACCTGAGTACACTACACCAACACAGCAAATATCACATTGTATAATTGTTTATGAGTTCATGTGAAACCACTACCATAGGAAGCAATTTTGTATGGGGGGGGGGCTGATTAATCAGTGGCGATTATTAGGTCATTATTTCCCTCTCAAACTTTACAGATTTTCGCTAGTTTACAAATTATTTGGGGTGCTGCAGACCATAAACCACCACCACCACAACCCCCCCCCCCAACCCCACCCCGGTTGCTACAGCCCTGGGAAACACAATGCCAACTTTGAGGCCACTGAACATTAAGTATAGCACTACTACTTTAATCCAAACATGTGGTATAAATCTGATGTTTATACCATGCATTTGTCCTTCTACTGTATATAGTCCGATCACTTTATATGCATTCACTTTCTGACAAAAGTTTTGTTTTCACTTTTCAGTCTGATTCTTCATTACTACTTCCAACATTTTTCCCACATGATGTTCTTTTTACTTCCTGTTCTTTATCACATTATAAAGACAAAAGACTTGAACAACTAGCGACAGATCCTAGCCTCGCCCATAGCTACAACACACTAAGTTCTGTGACTTTAATCACCACAAAACTCCTTCTAAGCTTGATTTATTCCACACTATTGCCCTGCATATGAAACTGTTTTATTTCCTGCAGGTATAGTGTTTTGCCGTTCCATATAACACTCTATAGCTATGAGCTATCTATATATCTATAATTGTATCTATAACACTATTATAGATATAATTATAGCTACAATAACTAATAAGTTTAAAATATATCATTGAAGTTCTTACTGTGCAGTAAGTACAATTTTCAGCTGTTTTGATGCTGATAGATTTACATACACTTAATTCCTCATACTATATGTATGTACTACAGTATGTATTAATATATTTTCTTTCTGTTAATTGTCTGCCCGGTTTTGTACAACCCAGTAAGAGGTTTGAGAAACCATGTAAAGTAAAAACAGTTTATGATACTGTACGGTATGTATATACTTGAAAGATAAATGTGCTTCTTAACTTTCTTTGCAGGATTTATCGGTTTTGAAAGATGTTCCATCTTTATTGTCATTGGCAAATGAAAAACTGCCTTTGAATTATAAATTGCCAAAGGAATGTGTTTATCTGCCGGGCTTCCACCTTCACTCGAATTTCAAGTTGCACACGGATGCAAGGAGGCAGATTCGCCATTTTATGAAAAGCCAGAAAGCAAAAGACGCAGACTGATTGCTGTTCCACATTGACTATAAGTATATCACGAACGGTTTTTATAACAGCTTATATAATTAATTCTAGGTTTCGTTTTGGATACATCCAAAACCATTTTCATAATCACTTACAGAAAATTGGTCGATTAGTCTCCATATTCTTATCAAATTGGTTTTGGACACACCCAAACAATTTTCGTAAACTGTGAAACCGCCAAATTTATTTGCATTTGTCTAGGATTGGTTTTGGATGCATCCAAAACCATTTTCATTGGCGCTAAAATCTGTAAAATGATTTCCATTTTCCAATAGGATTGGTTTTGGACGCATCCAAAACCATTCTCATGAGCTATAAATTGGCTAGTTTGTTTGCATCTGTCTAGGATTGGTTTTGGATGCATCCAAAACCCTTTTCATGAGCTATAAATTGGCTCATTTGTTTGCATTTGTCTAGGGATTGGTTTTGGATGCATCCAAAACCAATCCCTGGACAAATGCAGGAAAATTAGCCAATATATATGTAGCTCATGAGAATGGTTTTGGATGTATCCAAAACCAATCATATAAGAAAATGGAAATCAATTTACTGATTTTAGCGGTAATGAAATTGGTTTTGGATGCGTCCAAAACCAATCCCTAGACAAATGCAAACAAATTAGCCAATTTATAGCTCATGAGGATGGTTCTGGATGCGTCCAAAACCGATCCAAAAGAAAATGGACATCAATTTACCGATTTAAAATGGTTTGGGATGCATCCAAGAGATTGGTTTTGGACGCATCCAAAACCATTTCCATAAGCGCTAAAATCGGCTGATTTGTCTGGGGATTTTTTGCTAAAATCAGCGAATTGGTTTCCATTTCTCCAGGATAGTTTTGGACATATTGGTCAATTGATTTGCATTTTCCTGCAGGGTTGGTTTTGGACGCGTCCGAAACCATTCTCATGAGCTATAAATTAGCTAATTTGTTTGCATTTGTCTAGGGATTGGTTTTAGATGCATCCAAAACCATTTTCATTAGCGCTAAAATTGGTGAATTGATTTGCATTTTCCTGCAGGGTTGGTTTTGGACGCATCCAAAACCATTCTCATGAGCTTTAAATTGGCTAATTTGTTCGCCTTTGTCTAGAGATTGGTTTTGGATGCATCTAAAACCATTTCCAAATGCACTAAAATCGGCTGATTTGTCTGGGGATTTTTTGCTAAAATCAGCGAATTGGTTTGCATTTCTCCAGGATGGTTTTGCACATATTGGTCAATTGATTTGCATTTTCTCGCAGGGTTGGTTTTGGACGCGTCCAAAACCATTCTCATGAGCTATAAATTGGCTAATTTGTTTGCATTTGTCTAGGGATTGGTTTTAGATGCATCAAAAACCATTTTCATTAGCGCTAAAATTGGTGAATTGATTTGCATTTCCTGCAGGGTTGGTTTTGGACGCATCCAAAACCATTTTCATGAGCTTTAAATTGGCTAATTTGTTCGCCTTTGTCTAGAGATTGGTTTTGGATGCATCTAAAACCATTTCCAAATACACTAAAATCGGCTGATTTGTCTGGGGATTTTTTGCTAAAATCAGCGAATGGGTTTGCATTTCTCCAGGATAGTTTTGGACATATTGGTCAATTGATTTGTATTTTCTCGCAGGGTTGGTTTTGGACGCGTCCAAAACCATTCTCATGAGCTATAAATTGGCTAATTTGTTTGCATTTGTCTAGGGATTGGTTTTAGATGCATCCAAAACCATTTTCATTAGCGCTAAAATTGGTGAATTGATTTGCATTTTCCTGCAGGGTTGGCTTTGGACGCATCCAAAACCATTTTCATGAGCTTTAAATTGGCTAATTTGTTCGCCTTTGTCTAGAGATTGGTTTTGGATGCATCTAAAACCATTTCCAAATGCACTAAAATCGGCTGATTTGTCTGGGGATTTTTTGCTAAAATCAGCGAATTGGTTTGCATTTCTCCAGGATAGTTTTGGACATATTGGTCAATTGATTTGCATTTTCTCGCAGGGTTGGTTTTGGACGCGTCCAAAACCATTTTCATGAGCTTTAAATTGGCTAATTTGTTCGCCTTTGTCTAGAGACTGGTTTTGGATGCATCTAAAACCATTTCCAAATGCACTAAAATCGGCTGATTTGTCTGGGGATTTTTTGCTAAAATCAGCGAATTGGTTTGCATTTCTCCAGGATAGTTTTGGACATATTGGTCAATTGATTTGCATTTTCTCGCAGGGTTGGTTTTGGACGCGTCCAAAACCATTCTCATGAGCTATAAATTGGCTAATTTGTTTGCATTTGTCTAGGGATTGGTTTTAGATGCATCAAAAACCATTTTCATTAGCGCTAAAATTGGTGAATTGATTTGCATTTCCTGCAGGGTTGGTTTTGGACGCATCCAAAACCATTTTCATGAGCTTTAAATTGGCTAATTTGTTCGCCTTTGTCTAGAGATTGGTTTTGGATGCATCTAAAACCATTTCCAAATGCACTAAAATCGGCTGATTTGTCTGGGGATTTTTTGCTAAAATCAGCGAATTGGTTTCCATTTCTCCAGGATAGTTTTGGACATATTGGTCAATTGATTTGCATTTTATCGCAGGGGTTGGTTTTGGACGCGTCCAAAACCATTCTCATGAGCTATAAATTGGCTAATTTGTTTGCATTTGTCTAGGGATTGGTTTTAGATGCATCCAAAACCATTTTCATTAGCGCTAAAATTGGTGAATTGATTTGCATTTTCCTGCAGGGTTGGTTTTGGACGCATCCAAAACCATTCTCAAGAGCTTTAAATTGGCTAATTTGTTCGCTTTTGTCTAGAGATTGGTTTTGGATGCATCTAAAACCATTTCCAAATGCACTAAAATCGGCTGATTTGTCTGGGGATTTTTTGCTAAAATCAGCGAATTGGTTTGCATTTCTCCAGGATAGTTTTGGACATATTGGTCAATTGATTTGCATTATCTCGCAGGGTTGGTTTTGGACGCATCCGAAACCATTGTCATGAGCTATAAATTAGCTAATTTGTTTGCATTTGTCTAAGCATTGGTTTTGGACGCATCCAAAACCATTTCCATAAGCGCTAAAATCGGCTGATTTGTCTGGGGATTTTTTGCTAAAATCAGCGAATTGGTTTCCATTTCTCCAGGATAGTTTTGGACATATTGGTCAATTGATTTGCATTTTCCTGCAGGGTTGGTTTTGGACGCATCCAAAACCATTCTCATGAGCTTTAAATTGGCTAATTTGTTCGCTTTTGTCTAGAGATTGGTTTAGGATGCATCTAAAACCATTTCCAAATGCACTAAAATCGGCTGATTTGTCTGGGGATTTTTTGCTAAAATCAGCGAATTGGTTTCCATTTCTCCAGGATAGTTTTGGACATATTGGTCAATTGATTTGCATTTTCTCGCAGGGGTTGGTTTTGGACGCGTCCTAAACCATTCTCATGAGCTATAAATTGGCTAATTTGTTTGCATTTGTCTAGGGATTGGTTTTAGATGCATCCAAAACCATTTTCATTAGCGCTAAAATTGGTGAATTGATTTGCATTTTCCTGCAGGGTTGGTTTTGGACGCATCCAAAACCATTCTCATGAGCTTTAAATTGGCTAATTTGTTCGCTTTTGTCTAGAGATTGGTTTTGGATGCATCTAAAACCATTTCCAAATGCACTAAAATCGGCTGATTTGTCTGGGGATTTTTTGCTAAAATCAGCGAATTGGTTTGCATTTCTCCAGGATAGTTTTGGACATATTGGTCAATTGATTTGCATTATCTCGCAGGGTTGGTTTTGGACGCATCCGAAACCATTCTCATGAGCTATAAATTAGCTAATTTGTTTGCATTTGTCTAAGCATTGGTTTTGGATGCACCAAAACCATTTTCATTAGCGCTAAAATTGGTGAATTGAATTGCATTTTCCTGCAGGGTTGGTTTTTGACGCATCCAAAACCATTCTGATGAGCTATACATTGGCAAATTTGTCTAGGGATTGGTTTTGGACGCATCTAAAACCATTTTCAAAAGCACTAAAATCGGCTGATTTGTTTTCATTTGTCTGGGGATTTTTTGCTAAAATCAGCGAATTGGTTTGCATTTCTCCAGGATAGTTTTGGACATATTGGTCAATTGATTTGCATTTTCTCGCAGGATTGGTTTTGGACGCGTCCGAAACCATTCTCATGAGCTATAAATTGGCTAATTTGTCTAGAGATTGGTTTTAGATGCATCCAAAACCATTTTCACTAGCGCTAAAATCGGTAAATTGGTGAATTGATTTGCATTTTCCCACAGGGTTGGTTTTGGACGCGTCCAAAACCATTCTCATGAGCTATAAATTGGTCAATTTGTTTGCACTTGTTTAGAGTTTGATTTTGGATGCATGTAAAACCATTTCCAAACGCACCAAAATCGGCTGATTTGTTTTCATTTGTCTGGAGATTTTTTGCTAAAATCAGCGAATTGGTTTGCATTTCTCTAGGATAGTTTTGGACATATCGGCAAATTGATTTGCATTTTCCTACAGGGTTGGTATTGGACGCGTCCAAAACCATTCTCATGAGCTATAAATTGCCTAATTTTTTTGCATTTGTCTAGGGATTGGTTTTGGATGTATCCAAAACCATTTTCCTTGGCGCTAAAATCGGTAAATTGATTTGCATTTTCCTATAGGTTTGGTTTTGGGCGCATCCAAAACCATTCTCATTAGCTATGAATTGCCTAATTTGTTTGCATTTGTCTAGGGATTGGTTTTGAATGCATCCAGAACCATTTTCATTAGCGCTAAAATCGGTAAATTGATTTCCATTTCCCTTAGCTGATGCTATCTTAACCAAAACTATTGTAAATTATAGCATATTCGTACCATAGATTCCTTGTATATTATTGCCTTTATTGTATATAATGTATCTTAATAAAGTGGGTAAATAAAGGTTTTTTAATCTGTTGTCAAGTCAAAGTGTGTATTTACTGTTTAGTTGTTTTTTTATGTTATGTTAGGCGGTTTTCGATATATTCAAAAACGAGTGCTGTTGAACGCATTCAAAACCACTTCTCCAATTACTCCTTCATAAATGTTTTGTAATTGCATTTGATCTATCCCATTTGGACAGATTTGATCATTCCCCTGCAATAGTTCCAGAATTGATATTTTTCTGGACTATTTTTAATAAATTAGCTTGATTCTGCAAGACGGAAACAAATTATGCCCGGTTTTTGACGATATGAGCTGATATGTAGGCATTTGTCTAAAAATTAGGCTAAATAGAATATGCAACCCTATCGTAGAACGTGTTAATAGTAGATGGATGCGAATAAAGATAATTTCGCTCTATCCTATCTAACTAACATGTGCTATATAGGCAATAATTATATACTTCCTTATTGCAGTGAACGGACAGGGTGGTAAATTAATATAAGTCCAAGATATTAAACTAGCAGCCGTGAAAGAAGATGTATATCGGATTTTGAACTAAACTAGTTTAAAAACGTTTCGTGTTATTTTACGTAGAGTATTGTTATGTCAAAACATATTTGGCACAGCAGTTAATGAACATCAAAAGCAGCAACTCAATAAATTCCATTATAAATTTTTGTCACGTTTTAGTTCTGTACAACAAATGTGACATTCATCAGATAAATTAGCCTATATAATTAGATTTTTGCTAATGTTCTTGTAAAACAATCTGCCAAAAGAATTCCCTTTTTTATATTGTAGTTTTGCAACATTATATTATGTTTCGGATTTTGATGGTAGCTAAAATAACTATACCCAATCGTTTCAAATTGACTGATCAAATTAACCGACCGCTCCGCTTCCACAATCACTCAAATTGGCGACACCATGCATGTACAGGTTCTACAATGCTGCATTACCTTCTACATGCAATTATACAAACGACATCACGTTTGCAAACGACACGACGTTTACAAACTTGATTGCATCATTCTTGATAGAACTGTTTTTCTAGTATTCAGCAAGTAGTTCAAATTCGTGATGAAAGAAATTTGTTTTCATTTGATATGTGCGCATCCGCTAGGTATTCTGATGTCGCTGTCTAGATTTCGCGCGCGCATTTCTTGAACTAACCATTTTATTCTTCGAATTAATGCTGAAAACATGAATTTTGAGAATTCTTTCCCTTTTTTTCTTGGTGTGCTCATGGGAAATAAACTGTTTCTTCAGTGGAAGATTAAGGTCGTAGCACGACCAAACAGAAATTAAATGAAGAAACAACAAAGAATAAACGTACTAATGATGAGTCACAATTACGAAATGCAAATGACGAAATTCCACTTAAGAAAATCTTGGACAAGAAACTCAATCCTATAGACAAGAAACTTGAAGAGATTCTGACTTCAATTAACTTCCTTAGCGCTAAGTACGATGAACTTGTTAAAGGAGGACAAGAATAAGGGACACGAAGGACAAGAATAAGGGACACGAAGTTGAAAATAAACGGCTAAATGACTCGGTTAGACAACTTGACTTGCAAGTACAACAGCAAACAGAATCTATCAGTGAAATCGAACTTACAGTATTATAGACGAGACTGTATAGAAATACGAGGAATTCCAGTGGAAACTAACGAAGAAACAGACGAGATTGTCCAGGCAGTAGGCAATCTCACGAACGTGGCAATTAACCCTCAAGAAATATCAATTAGTCACAGATTAAAAGAGCGCCATGGCAGTGAAGACCCAATGTCAAGTCGTCCACCGCCGATTATAGTGAAATTTGTCAGAAGGGAAGTTAAGGAGAAATTATATTCCTCACGAAGAATGCTCCGTAATAAGTCAACTTCAGACTTGCCGCTACTGAATTCCACTGGAAACAAAATATTTATCTCGGGAAGCCTGACCAAGAAGAATGAGGATCTATTTAAAGAAACATTGAAGCGAAAGAAAGAGCTTGGACATAAATTCATTTGGACTCAATCTTGAAGAATATTCACAAGAAAGGATGTAAACAGTGCAAAACTACATATCACGAATAATACAGATGTGCAAAACATGAGATGAATATTGAACCTCTAAACAGATAAGTAAACTAATATATATGTATACATGTAATTTTCAATGACTTGTCTAAAATGTGGGCATTATGATTCAGAGATTATGATTCTCTTCCTTTTCTTAATGTTACTTCAAGTGAAACAAATATACCACATCTAACAAGCTCAGATGTTGATCTTCATATGCCATCAGAGGTTAACTTTAAATATTATAGTACACATAATTTTCACGATGACAAAGATATTAATGAGTGTATGATTGACAACTCATTTTCTGTCTTGAATTGCAACATTAGAAGCTTATCAGCTAATTTTGATAATTTTCATAACATGCTATCTGAATTGCACTCACCCTTTTCAATAATTGATCTGACTGAAACTAAACTAAAATGTGATCAAAATCCAATTGTTAATACAGAATTGTTGGCTTATAATTTTGTATCTCAACCAAGCACAACAAATGCTGGTGGAGTTGGTTTCTAAATAAGAAATCAGTTAAAATATTTACTTCGATCGGATATATCTTGTTCAGAAATAGATTTTGAAGCTTCACGCATTGAAATACAGACTGAATCCCATCGGAACATGCTATGTGGAGCGTTATATATAGACACCCCAATGACAATCTAGGAAATTTTATGTCATACCTTAATTCAACGATTGAAAAAAATCATCAAGAAAGTAAATATTGTGTAATTATGGGAGATTTTAATTTAGATCTTTTAAAGTTTGAAATTCTCCCAGCTACAGATGATTTTCTTGACACATTAGGTTCTTATCACCATAAAAAAATAGGATTGGTGAAGCTACTGTATTTTTTGGCGACAAACCAGTACCATTAACTCATTCTTTTGAAAGCTTAGGAGTAGAAATCGATGAAAATTTGAGCTGGAAAAATCATATTGATAAAATATGTAAAAAGGCAAGTGCCGGTATTGGGGCTATTAAACGCGCTAAACCGTACGTTGATATTAATACACTACAAACCATATATAAAGCACTAGTGCAACCATATTTTAACTATTGTTCCACCCTATGGGGAAACTGTGGTAAATTGCTCCAAGACAAACTTTCAGTCTCGCGCAGCAAGGGTAATAACTGGTGCCACTTACGATATAAGGTCACTTGACATTCTTAATACCTTGTCTTGGGAAACACTTGACAATAGAAGAAATAAGTCCAAGGCTGTGTTTATGTACAAAGTGCTAAATGACCACACTGCCCCGGGTCTAAAAGAATCTCTTCTCAAAAGGAATGTGACACAAAATACCTATAATCTCAGAAATAGCGAAAATGATTTAACTCTTCCAAAACCTAGAACAGAATATCTAAGAAGAAGCTTTAAGTACAGTGGCGCTATGTTATGGAATGACCTTTCGTCTGCAGCTAAATCGGCGAATACTCTCGGCTGCTTCAAAAAAGAGATAGGTGCAAGCTAGAGGACGATTCTGTGCTATATGTGTGCTAATCTAACTTTTGTATATAGTTGTATATAATATTTTTAAATTGTAACTTTCTAACTTGATTATTTTCCTTGTATTATTTGTGTGACGCCCCTCGTGGAAATCAGCACCATGTTGACGCGGCAAGCATGTTTAAATAAAGTTTTACCTACCTACCTACCTACCTACCTACCTACCTACCTACATACCATTTCTTCCAACCTCAAATACTTCAGCCGACTAGAATTACTGATCATTCAGCCACATTAATAGACAATATATTTTTCAATTCTATTGAACACTTTCTTATTGGTGGAAATATAGTATATGACCTTACTGATCATTTGCCAATTTTTTTGATAATTAATAGATACCCTTTGTAAGTAGTATTACCCCTAAGAACACAGCGCCGGAAGTCCCGTATAGCGCCGGAAGTAATTAGTATGCAGTAGCGAATAGAGCGCCGAAAGTAATTAGTATGCAGGAGCGGCGGAAGCAATGACGTCATGGAAACCCGAAAGTAAGGAAATGTTCAAAATGGCGTACAACGATGAACATTTGAAAGCAATTTATTAAATTTTTCGGTAGTTTACAGTAGAGATTTTTGATAATTATAATGTTTTTAGAGTTTGTGCCAGATGCATCCACAAAAGGTTAATTCACCACATTCTAGCGAAAATTCGAATGTCAGCTTGGTCAGTAGTTCTTTTAGTATTTCTGTACAGTTTTTATGGATCGTTGTTTGACAGCATCGGGTTTTGTTTAGTTCTTGTTCGTTGTTTTTATTCTGTAAGCACAGGTAACAGAGTTCTTGTCCTGGCTTGATGTTCTGCAGTACCCGCACCGTACGGTTCCGATGGCTGTGCCGTTGTATTGCGCCGCCCACATTTGGCAGCATCGACAATGAGCTTTTTGTTGACAGCATTGCATCGTCATCGCAAGTAGTTCGTTTCCATCAATCTGTTCAAAGCAGAAATAGCACTGTCCTGGTTCTGTGGTATTTTCCGCCAGGATTCCGAATAGAGGTATATTTGTTGGTTGTATAACATCTTCAGGCGCTGGTAAAACTCCTATGCATTCCATCTCGATGTGTGTTTGATGATTATGGGGAAGTGT